AAATTTGTGTAGCATTAAGTTTTGAAATATAATCTGCACTATATGATTGAATTCGTTCTATTTTTTCAATCCCTAGTTTCTTAACTACTGTTTTGGTTTCAGAGTCATAACTTTCACCAAACAACTTATAAATATTTCTAGTTTTTGCTGTTTTTTTATGTAGGCTTTCTCTTGTGAATCATAGAATATTCGTTGCAATTTCGCTATAAACTAACCCTCTAGCCTGTTGATCATTAAATCTACTATTATCATTTTTAATTTCTTTAACCCTTTTTTTAAATTTTTTAGCAAACAGATACCAACACCTAATTTCTTCTTAGTAGGCTTGGGTTACATATTTTTCTGCCCGGCTTGCATTATAATATAACTGGAGTAAAGTTTTTGGTTTTGATTCCCTGGTTTTATTTTCTTTATCATTATCATCAATTGGTTAGTTCTTTTATTAAACCTTGCACTTTTTTAAATTCCATGGATTTCGTTTTACTTTGGGGGATAGCTCTACCGTCATTTACAGATAATTTACTTACCTCTCCTGTTAGATTAGAGGTTTCTTCACTTTCACCTTCCACTGCCTCTGTCATATCTATGTTCTGAACTTCAGCTGACGCCGGTCCTTCATTATCTACGAAACAAATGGGGCAAGTTTTTTGCTTATCTCTATTACTTTTTTCAAGGCAGTCGTGATAGAGAGTATGACCACACACTAACATAGTAAATGCTTTGGGCGGATTTAAAAAAATTTCTTCATTACATTCATGACAATTCTCTAGCTCTGGTATTGTAATATCGTTTGCAAGAGAATTTGGATAACTTTTTAGAATATTTATTCCTAAGGATTTTAATAACTCTGATCGTTTGGGGTATTTTTTAGCAAGTTTTCTTTCGCTAAGTGGTTCAAGACTCATAGTATAGAATATGCTGAGCTGGTTTATGAAGAAAAAAATCTTCTTATCATTTTACTCTTACCTAACTATATACTATTTTCATATTGTCTGGGATTATTTGCTAGATAAGAGCAAACGGATATAATATCCAAATCAGTACAATTACCCGAATTTTAGTCAGATAAGTATTTGTAATTTATTATTCTTATCCCATTATATAATATACTCCTTATTATTAACAAACCAAATTTAAATACTATGAAAACTAATTTCAGATTTGGCAATCGGGTTTATTCACGAATTATTTAGTATGGGGAGGGATTGCCCGATCTTATTTATATTTTCGCTAATAATTCATCAATATCCCAATCTTCATAAATATCTCCCCAAGGAATTATTTCATCTGCAATTTGTTGTATGTTATATTTAACAATTTCCCTTTCCTGCCCATAAAGCATTCCATTTGTAAGCATACATCTTTCAATCTCTACTTGTTTTTTAGTGGTCTCAAGTAGCTCTGTATAATATTTAAGCTCCATACTATATTCCATATATCCTTGAAGTTCCTCATCATCTGAATATTGTTTTAGTACTTTCTTTATTTTCTTATCTTTTTCAAGCTCTAATTTATAACTTTTTAACACTTGTATCTCCCATCTTTTTTGGAGTTTATGTTGAATTTCTTTATATCAAGTTTTATTAATCTAGCAGAATTTGTCGAGAGCCTTCAATAAGAGATTTGGAATGATTTTAGCTATAGTGTCCGAAACAACAAATATGCATGTTTATTGTATATATCAAACGTGTAGATTTTATTAACTAAGATTTTTTATTTAATTGTTATATTTATTTATTATCGATCATAAAAAATAGATATACATTACAATAAGTAGAACGATTTAGTGGGATGTTTATTCTTCCAGAATTTCACAATCTCTATATATATATGGATTAGCTTTTTCATCTTGGGGTAACTATAATTTTGTATCTAGTGGGTTAATACTCCTCTTTGTTTGCTTTATTCTATACATTCAATGCCTGTAACTTCGGAGGAATTGTGCAGTTCGTAGTTGATCTTCTTTTCACTCTAAAACACAGTCTTCGAATATTTTATGTATGAGCTCTCTCTTGATAAGTGCTTTTTTAAGACCCTTTGCTTTTATCATATTTTTTCGTGAATTTTCACATATAACACTATAGCATTTTGCACAAACTCCAGTATAGCCAATAGCACGATCTCCTCCATTTTCGTCCTTCTACTTACCTATAACTTTTGTATTTTTTAAGACACGTTTATCTTCATTGATTATCCACTGATCTTCTGGAAGATTTTTTACTACCCAATGATCTTCTGGATAGTCACTAAAATCAAATAAATCCCAATCATTGATCATGTCTTGATAAATATTTTCGGTTTCAATTTCTATGATTAAAGAATCTGTATCTGTGTATAAAAGTCTTACTCGATCACCATACTTCTTTTTGAGATGTCCATACCAGAAGTCATATATAAAGTATTTAGAAAGATCAAAAATACATGCTCCAACATATTCTGGCTTATTTAGTTTTATATTGGTTTGTCTTTGATGTACTGCTACCAAATTTGCTCCATAGAAAATTTTCCGACTAACAAATGCCGGATCTGATATTAATCTACATAACCTCTGTTCTTCATCTACCTGTCTAACTAAATCTATATTCACTCATTTTCTTACATCTTCCATAGTTTTTCCAAATACTGAGTTATTTATTAATTTCCAGAAATCTTTTTCAAAGACATTCTTTGCTTTTGCACGTCGTTGAGTATTCATTGCAATGTATGGTTCTAACCATGGTGATTGTTCGAAACCTAGAATTCAATATACTTTTTCAAGAATATAACCTTTCTTTATACATTGTTGTAGATTTCTATAATGAATAACATAATGGTCCTTATCATGGAGAGTTAGTATAAGTTTTTCTGTATCTGAACGTTGCTTCCCTAACCATTCTTTTTGTTTTAAACTATACCAATTATATAGTACTTTCTTTCGTTCTAGACACATAGGATAGTTCCGAAACTTTGATATAATTCTTTTGGAATTGATAACTTAACCTCTAAACAACATCCTTGATTTGATTTTTCTTTTAATCTTAAAATTTTCCGCACTAATGAATGAGTTGCTTCTAGTGAATGAGTAGATAGCCATTTAAATCCACCGGTTGGTAAATATTGAGACATTGCCTAGCCATAAAGATTATTTGCATCTAAGTAGAGCAACTATTTTTTTGCCTTTTTTCCATCATACCCTTCTAATCCTGGAATATTAGCTCTAGCTATACGTCGTCTAGCCAAAGACATTCCACCTCTTTTCATAGTTGTAAAGAAATCGTGCATATCCCCTTGATGCTCATTAAATAATTTTAGCTTAACTTTTGTTACTTTCATACAAGCATCCCATGCTAAACCTGGTGCGGTTAAATAATTTGCTGGGTCAAGCTTGAATGCTGAATATGAGGCTTTACGGAATGCCTCGAATGCATCTGCTAAAATTAATACATCAGTTTTAAGATAGATATTGTGATAATCTCCAAAAATCTTGCATTCTGTTTCTCGCCAGACCATATGTGCAAAATCATAATCCTTTTGAGATATGGTATAAATTTTTTCGTGTTCACATTCTTTATTTTCTTCACATTCATTGCAATTACCTGGTTCTTTTTTATGCTTACATTTCTGACATTTATGTTTGCATTTCCCTTTCTTCTTTCCATGCTTACATTTTTCTATTCTACAATTATGATTATAGTAATTAAACCCATCTAAATCACTATTAAAATCTTTACGTGGTGGGAGCTGTGTCTCATTAAATTTTGTTTTATTATTTAACTATTGATATGAAAAAATTCCTTTACGTGTAAGCAATGATAACAAATGAGGTGAAATGAATTTTGACATAATTAGAAAACATTTGGCTAGTTGTTCTGGTGTTTTGTTTTCCCCTTTTTTTTCATCTTGTAAATTTTCTGCTATCTTAGCTAAACCCAGTAACGAAAATTTCATACTATCTATAAATTGAAGTTGCCCAACTGAAAAAGTAATATATTGTTCAGAATTATTTGCTATGGGCACTATTTTTTCATCTGTCACTTTAGCTATTTCTTGTATAAGATGATAAAAATCATAGCCACTTCCATTACAAAATAATACCAGGATTTTTATTGTTTTTGGATCAATTCGTAATTTCAGATTGCAACTACTGTGTGATGCTCCACAAAATCTTCCTGTTATATAATCATGATCTAATACCTTATTTTTTTCTTCATCTGGCAATTGGGTATTACAATACATACATTTTTTACAAGCACCACGTGCTTTCTTTTGTTCATCATCCAACTTACCTTGAATCATTGGTTTTTTTCCGTGACATTTTCTATACCCTGCTCCTAAATATTTCTTAGTTTCAGGATCGAATATGCGAATTTTATTATATCCAGCTTCATGTAATTTACCTTCACAATTCTTACACTTATTTTCTATTTGATATTTTCGCTATAATTCAGGCGTCATTTTTTCATATGAAACTGGAATGTGAAGCTTATCTAAAATAACATCTAAATCTTCTTGAAGGTTTTCTATTAAATCTTTTATTATATTTTCTGACTTTCAATTAATTACTGGTTTTTGTATAGTTCCATCTGAACAATGTATTGTATATCTATATGAAACTGCTTTTTGTTTCGCTATTTTTATAGTATTTCCTTCTTTATCTTTTTCTTCCACTTTAGCTTCTTCAGCTTCTAAATCCATATCAATTATATAAGGTTTTATTAATATATTTTTGATATACTTGGGTTTTATATAATTCTTACCCTCTTCAGGAAGAATTAATCGTTGTAGTGCTTTATTTGGTCCTGGACATGTTGGAATATGCTTCTCTAATAAATCTAATCTGCTATATGGGAATCGTAAACATTTTTGACAAAAGTATTTCTTATCATGATGATTATTCCATTTATGCATTAATTGTATAAAATTTGTTATAAAAACATAATGTGTTTTAAGTCCTTCTGGTATATCATTAGGATTTTTTTGATTATTTAAATTCTCCTCACCTTCTGTTAAATATAATAAATCTATCATATGTTCTATCTGGTAATTTTGTTCTGAAATAAATAATGGGTCTATATCTACTTTTATTTTTCCAAAAGCTTTACTAAAAACTGGTCTAAATATATTGATAACATAATTTTAATTAATCTCCTCGAATTTATTAATATCATGTAATGTTGCTGGAAATTTTATGCCTTTATAATTTGCTATATTTGTATTTCGTCTAAGTCTACGGATTTCATTAAGATGTAGTGGCTTTCTATTATTTTTTATTGCTTCTTCTCTTGTATGATTTGCACTTATACACCATTTAAAACATTCATTATCATCTCTATTTTGAGGATTAATTAATCCTAGTTGAGGTTTATCCAAAGCTTCTGGTAAA